TTGGACGGAATTGGTGGTAGTGCCAATGGCTGTTGTCCTGGTTGTGACCTCATGTAGTCCTGATAGTACCATCCATTGTCATAGTAGTCATCGTACCATTGTGCTGTTGCATCTTCAATGTCGTTGCTTTCTCCTTGTCCAATGTTGTGTATTGCCACTCGGCAATCTTTGCAAAATGTCCTGTTCTTCCACATCTGTAGCATGTATCTGTTGCTTGTTTTCCTTTGTTCTTTCCCTTGCCTTTGTTGTATCCTTTGCTGAATCCTTTGTTTCCTTTGTTGCCTCTTCCGAATGGATTGCCAAAGCCGATCGGACTGTTGTTGTAGTTGTTGAATCCTTTTCCTCCATACTTTCCTTTTCCTTTGTGGTTCATGTTGTAACTGTTGTACCCGTAGCCGTTGTATCCTCCGTAGCCTTTGCCTTTGTTCTTTCCTTTTCCTTTTCCTTTGTAACTGTTGTACTTGCCTTTTCCTTTGTGGATTGCATCAATGTCCATGGGCGCTTGTCCTCCACCAAAGCTTGTTGCTACACTGGATGATTGTGATCGTAATTGTTGTAGTTTGCTGAATGCTGTTGTTGATCTGTAGTACTCGATGATTGTTTGTTTGACTCGTGCATAGTTTGGGCTTTGTCCTGAAAGCAGTTGTAGGTGCTGTTGTAGTGGTCCACTTGTCTCATTGAGCAGTACGGCAATCTTCACGGAGTCTGGGAGTGTTTGTCCATTGTCTCGCTCAAATCTTTGTAGCTCAAATTCCCATGTGGAAAATGATTCTTCGAAGTTGTTCTTGTCAAACGTTGGTTTCAACAATCTTGTCAAGTGTCCTATGGATCTTGTCCCCAATGGAATGGAGAAGCGGATGCACAGTTGTCTGTACATCTCGAAGCCAATTGTGTGTTGGTATTGTCTGCATACTGTAGCTGCTGCTCCAGTTGTTGTGTTGATGAGGATGTACCTCAAATCAGTGCTGAGGCGAACATGTCGTTCACCGTCTTCGATTGTTGATGTCGCTGCTCGTAATTGTAGCTCTGTGAGTTCTGCTGTGCCTCGTTCTGCTGCTTGTAGTAGTTCTGTGTCATCATTGTCTTGCAATCCCATGTATGCTGTGAACTTGTACTTCCATTCCTCGAACGTGCCATAGTCTCCATTGTCGAAAGGTGGTTTGAGTTTGTATCTGTTCATGTTTGCCATGTTGGTGATTGTCTCGTCTTCTGGAACTGGAGGTAGGCCATCTCCAGCTTGAGCTGCTGCTGGTTGTGCTGCCATTGTTGCAGCTGTGCAAGCTACCTGTTGTAGGGTCAAGGCTTGCTCTCCGTTGTCTGTGTTTGTGTGCTTGTTCCTGTTGTTGTATTGGAGCTCACCTGGATTGTTGTTACCAGGATCCTTGCTCCGCTACCATGTAAAATTCAGCAGCTGTTTGTTTGTCGTTTGTTTGTGCACGTCTCTGTATTGTTTTCCTCTTCAGCTAGGCTGGGCTCAAGGCCTTTGATCCAAGGTGCATTGTATAGCACCGTGCAGTTGTACATCAACACTACGATGGAGTAAGTAAGCTATTGTGAAAAAGCTTGTCTCTTAACAAGGGAGAGAGAGAGAGAGAGAAAGAAAAATAATGAGAGTCAAGCTTTAGCTGCACAAAAAAGACATCTGCGGCATGTTTTCCTACCCAACAACACCCAGGGACGCTATATTGTTCGATTCCTTCCATCATGGACATCCTGCTCACTCTGACACGCCGCACGCCGACCTTGATCTACCTTGTATACATGTCTCATGTCTCTATCTCCTACGTGACATGTTTTTCGGAGTGGGACCAGTCAGCCTGAAAATGCACAAGAAGGCGTCCAGCGTCAAGTTGCATGGGCCTTTTCGCCCTTTTGAGCCACAATTTGAAAGCCAATCAATATCGAATTGTGTGATCCCCTGCCCCCAAAAAAAAAAACAGAAATTGAAAAGTAAACGCAAGCAAACGCTCGAGGGCGTGGGGTATGAAGCATCGCACTTTGAACATCATCGATCCTTCAGCTCTGCTAGACACCTGCGAGACACACAATCCTACAGATCCGCATCTAGCACTCGTGCAGCTCTGAAAATGCACTGCGGGCCTGGCCTATGCTCAAGGCGATCATAGGCACCACTTGTTTTGGTCATCTCTTCAGCGCGTGCCTCTTTTGGCACTTGCCGCTAGGAAATGGATCCACAATCAGACTCACTGTTTGGTGCGTATTTTGATGCCCCTTTTGCACAGCACATCCGCACAAACTAGCGGCAGGAAAGCAACAAGCATTTTTTCATACAGCTGCGAGTTCCGCCCACCTCATGACAGCTGCAGACCTTTGGATGCTAAGAATGATCTCACCGCTGGGTAGTTTTGAAGCTCGGTGACAAACATGGTCTTCACCCGTGGGTCTGCAAGACACTTCTTCGGATTCTGGAGGACGCGCATGAACTCAGGATGATCTTTGAGAAAGCTCTGCAAAGCCTCTGCCGGATTTGTCTTGCCATCGCTCTTCTTGGAAGGAGCTTCGGTCTTTTCGGGCTTGACATGGGCAGCTCCATGTCCATGGTCAGCTGGGTCAGCTGTTGGCTGAGTAGGCGCACCAGTTGGTGGGCCAGTCTTCTCATCAGCCCGTTCCACCCGCTGCTCTGCCTGCTTTTCCTGCTGTTTTAACCGTTTGGCTCTACGATCTGACTCAAACTTTTCTAGAAAATCCTGCCGCTTTTTCCGCAAAGCCGAGGCATCAAACTCACATTCCATCTTCTCATCACTTGAAGTGTCGGTCGGGTCAAGCTCGACGACTGATATCCACTCTGCATTTGACTCCAAGTCCGCAGCAGCATCAAGAAGCGAGACTACAGCATCTGCATCTCCTGCATCTGAGGCCAAAAGGTTGTCAGGGTGCTGTCTACACCTGTCTTCGCTGTTCTTTTTGTCACTCCTTCCCCGAACTGGCGGGGCAAAGACTTGGCTAGGAAGAGCTCTGGGCAGCGGCCCCGTTGGCTTTGCTAGCAGCTCTTCCTTCAAGCTTTTGATGCTTTCCAGGAGTCTACCAGCCTTGTTCTCCAATAATTTTGGGGCTGGAAATTCCTGCAGACTATGGATCACGTCAGCAAAAAGGCTGTCTGGTTCACTTGAGTTTTCAAGCACCACCTCCAAAAAGATTGTTGAGCTCGGGCAGTTTTGCACCACGACTCGCTGAAGGGAAATCATGAGCTCTGTGGCACGCAGCCAGGCTGCCAGCTCATCCACTGCGGTTTCCTCCTCAGTGCCTTTCTCCGCAGCACGATATTGCTGACTTGATGCCTCAAGCTCTTGTGCCAAACGCTGCATGCATTTTTCAAGCTTGAAGGCACTGCTAGTTGTTACTTGAACAGTTTCGTCCTCTACGTCTTCAGCAGAACCACTGAAGAGCAAATTGAGGCATAGCCACTGTGGAGTGCACAGGCCCAACAGCAACTCCAACGCCGCACTGACAGTTGGAGCAGTGTAGGCACTGTCAGCTTTGTTGATCAAAAGGTTCACTGCTTTCGCCACCATTCTGCACTTGGGCACGGAGTGGGTGAAGGGGGTGGAAAACATCAAGCCCAAGAGCCTGATAGACTGTGAGAAGGCCATGGAAGGCAAGGATGAAGCCGGCGAGTGTGCAAGCACTGATTGACAAAGAGTTTCGACAGAATGTTCTGTCAGAGCGAGGCGCGCTGAGTCACTCAAGGTTCCAAAGTGGCACAGCAGCATGAGTAAACGAGAAACTGCTCTGGCATCACGAGGATCCCTAGCGGCGCCTCCACTAATGTTGTCCTCTCCTTCTCGCCCATCAGTTTCCATCATCACACCATTTAGAGCTGCTTCGGCCAGCCTTCGAATGATCAGTAGAACTGGCAAGCCTGCTGCAGTGAGCTTCTCCATCACTTTGGCGGTGCAAAGATGAAGAAAAGCATCCGAGGTGAGCGCACTTTCAGCAAGCGCAGCCAACAACTCTCCAAAATCATCCAGAGACAGCCGTTCTCGCCGAGCATTGACAAGCTCCACCAATCCCAAGGCCTGTGCTGCACCTGTCTCACGTTCCTGTGCCAAGGTTCGCACCAACCAATCCAATTTTGCAGGACCCGCTGCTCCATTGGTTCCAGCTGCTTGCTCCTCCCAATCCTGCACCTCAGTGTCGCCATGAAATTGGCCAAAGGTGCCCGAGTCCGGAGATGGCGATTCATGTCGCAGAGTCACTACAGCATGATTCCCAGTGCGGGTGCCAGTGGGTAGCAGCACCACATGGGACTGAATGCCCTCACTGGCAGGTGGCGAACTGGTAAACTGAAGGCTGAACTGATAAGGCTCTGTAGGAAGCACAGCTTTCAAACTTCCACACGTGGCCAGTAGCATCAAGTCCCCAGACAAGTTTATCGGCAGGACACGTGCATGCCGAAGCAGCGGGAGCAAAAGCTGCCCACCTGCAACTTTGGGGAATGCCTGGAACCAAAGGCGGAACACTCGGCACAAGCACACCAGGCAATGCCGCCACAGTAGTCTAAACTCAGGGTCACTGCCGAAAAATGCACGAGGGGCTAAACCTCCCAGTCCGGATGTGAGCCGCTGCGCCAGAAGCAAAAGCGTTTGGCAAAGCTCTGTGTGCCGATAATGCACCAGGCCAGCATCTCGCAGACCACTGATTAAGTGGGCACAGGTGGGAAGAGCTGCCTCCAGAAGTTGAAGATGTGCACCCCTAGTGGCATAGATACTTGCTATGGGCTTCTTGTCCTCATGGAGGATGGTCGCTTCCAAATTCAAACTCAAAGCGCCTGCACACCGGATCAACCAAGGAACTATTTGTGCCAAACCATCCCTGGCTTTTGAGGCATTTGTGCCGTCTGCTTCATGCAAAGCAATAGCCAAAGCTTCTTTCGGTCCAGTGGCAGCTCGCCGGCAGATGACCCTAATGGCAACCAGCGGAAGTTCGGTCAAATCATCGCTCGGATAGCGTTCGTGGTCGTCAGCCAAATCACCATGTTCGAGGGATTCACTGGCTTTGAAGTCAACCTCAGGTATTTCCACACCGTTGGTCGCTCCTGCATGCCCACCTAGAACCAGCGCAAAGCGCCTGCTACCTCTCTCCTCATTGGCAGATCGCTTGAGAGACCGAGCTCCTTTCGAGAGAATTAGGCTTGACATCAGCTTGGCATTCGTTTCTCGCCCCTGCTCCTCTTCCCAGGGTCGCAGCTGAGCAGCTAGCTCTTTCAAGTTCTTTAAACACTCCAAGTCTGCACTTTTTCGCCCTGTTCGGACTGCTCTTCCCAAACCACCTTCAGCACCTTCACTGTCCAGCGCAAATTCCAACAGGCTTCCACTTGCATCACCTTCTGTTGATTCTGCTTGCGGCTCCAGAATTCTGATGGCCTTGTGAATGAGTGCCAGGATTCTTGTTCCAAACTTCTCGGCTGCAGCACCGGAGGGGTCAAACAACACCAACGCATGCAAAAGTGCCACAAGGTGGCGCAAAGAAGGTTGAACTTGTGATGACCCGCTGTTTCCACTCATTGAGGCCTCATCCAAGCGACCTTCGATTTGCCGGATAAGCCACTCAGTGAAGAAGACTGATCTGAAGGCATATACCACAGCACACCGACCAGCCGACCCCTTCACACAAAGCCGGTGCAAAGTAGCGAGAATGGGAAAAGCATACTCTTCTGGAAGAAGGCCGCCTCTACCCTTCGACCTGAACATCCAACGGCGTTGGAAAACTTACACACCGTGCGCATAGGAGTGCAATACCGCACATCATACAAAGAAAGAAAGAAAGAACATGTTTCTTAGAGTCTCCAAAGGGAAAATAGCATCAATAGAGCAGTGGTCTTCACACTTTGGGCCATCAAAGCTCCACAAGACAAAACAAGAAACAAAAGGGTTCCAGCCTTGTGGAGGCCACCAATTGCAAAGACATGCGAAGGGCTCGGACATGGAGAACAACCAATGCAGCCAGCTGTGATGCCCCTAAATCTTGGACAAGTGCTGCCGGGAAACGAGGCACTGCTGGCAACTTGCGACTTTCTGCTCCTTGCAAGGTAGCCAACCTGATGCGAGTTGGGTGGAAAAAATGAATGAGGATGTTTCAGGCATGTCCTCACCCTTCAGTTGACAAAATGGGGGCACTGAAACAAACCAGGATCACTCTGCAGGACGCAGCCAAGGGACATGTTCGTTAGAGTTGCATTGTCAGATGCTAAGAATTGGGAACCACCGGTGCAGGAGAGGAGCGTGCAAATCAATTGCCGAAAAGGTCGGAAAATACACAATCGATCCTCTGGCGGCATCCGAGGCAATCTGCGCAACAACGTGCACAACCCTGGTAGTAGTCGTCGCCCAGTCATCAGGGATTCTAAGAACCCATAGAGGTGATTCTGCCCCTGTGCGAAGGGATCACTAGCCACTGGCCCCGTGCCACCACCCCCAAAAATCACGGCTGGAAGCTTGCTATCTGCCACAACATGCCCGTTCAACAAGTCCTCCTCCAGAAGAAAACATGTGTTTTGCACATCCTGTGCTGTCACTGGCTGGCTGAGATCATCAACAAGGGTTGCAACATCTTGTAGGGCCTCGGCTGCAAGCTTATGCAGCTGGTCCAGGGTTGCCTCATTTCCCTCTGCACCCTCCAGCTTTGAGCAGGCATCATCAAGCCGAGCCAAGGCTTCGTAGAAGCCTGCTCTTCTGAGCAAAGCCAGGGCCACATGCTCTGCCTTTGGCTGCCCGGGCATCCCATCTAAAGCCAGTGCGAGCACTACCTCATACGCATTTGTTGCATTTAAACCATCCCATCCAAGAAGTGCCTCCATCCCAACGACATGAGAAGACAACTGCAGAAGAACTTGAAGAGCTGCAAGCTTCACATTCTGGCCCTCATCTTTCAACAGGGACACAATGAGATCAAGACCTCCCTTCCTGCTCAGGAACTCTGTGGCAGCTGTTGCCGAGATTAAACATGTAGCCAGCGCTTGCAGCGCAGCGCGAAGTGGCCGAAACTCAAGCCTTTCCAAACATCGGGACACCAACGAAAATAGAGCTCGCGCCAAGTCTGGCCCAAGATGCACATGAGCAGCATTGTCTGGAGCCCGCTGAGCGAGGGTGACAATGTCCTGTGCCAAGGCTTCCAGCCTTCCAACTGCATCAGCCTCAAGTACATCGTCTCCATCTTGGCCAGCCACCCCAGCCACCCATGTTGCGTACTCACCGAGCCTTGTATTAGCTTCCTGCACGGCTCCCAGCCCGAGTGCCCGTCCAAATGATGGTGCTGAAGCTGCTGAAGCCTCAAAGTCATCACGATCCATGTCTCCAAACTCAAATCCTTTAACAAGTTTGATGTCCTCCTCTTCTTCCTTCATGTCTTCCAGGTCCGCCATGTCCAACTTGTCTTCAAAGGTGGAACTTGGGCGAAGGTGCTGGGCAATAGGAGGGTGAGGAAGAGGAGTCTCACTTGGCAGAACTTGTCCGTAAATGGCAATGGAGAGCTTGATGAACTTGCCGCGAACAACAATGCTGTTGGTCACCAATTGGCCTGGCACGCTGTAGCTTCCCAACGAGCTGGACGGCACTGCCAGCATAGTAGAGTTTGGCGCTTGTGCATCAGCAGCAAACACCTCCAGCCCAATCATTCGAATATCTGGATAGGTGCGGCCCTCAAAGCCATCGCACTTGTCACTCCGCCTGACGATCTTGATGCTTTGCAAGGAGATCAGCTCAGGGAAGCGAAGTTCTCGCGTATGTTCACCCATTTGGCGCGCCTCGACATGGTCAGCAAAAACCAAAGCACCACTGCCGTCCATCGAAATGGATCCTGGCACTTCTTCGTGCCTGGCTGGGCCTGCCTGACTACCTACATAAGTCCCTGCTTCTATCAGCTATGAGCCCCAAAATTGCATAAAGCACAGCTTTCCAGCAGATCCGCCAGATCAACAGGGCATTGATGAGTGAATGGCAATGCATGACTTTTTTCGGGTAAAAACAGCCAAAACGGAGTTGGCCTCTGCCAGCATCGTAGCCTCCCAAAGAACTGAAGGCGTGTGTTGTGCAACTTCTGCATCCATCAAACCACTAGCTTACCTCCTTGTCTGGGACTAGTAGTCAGGAGAGCCTATAGAAAGACATATCTTGCCAGGCGCCTCGTCTGGAAGTTGTTTTCCTAAAGGTCTCGAGTCAGCAACAATGATCGCGCCCAAGCCGATTGCCAAAATCAAGCACTGGGCAGCCACCTGTGCCACAAAGCATTCTGATTCCAGCAAGCAGGCCGCCCTAAATCCCAATTCGTTCTGCCTTCGCACACATCTTCAATCTTTCGCGGAAAACACCTCAGCTCAAAAAAACAAGCTCGATGAGCTTATGAATCACAGCCATGATGGACGGTGCATGGTGGGCATTCAAGCAAAGCTCCAAGGTGCGAGCTGTAACATTCCTTATCCTGCGATGAGACGTTCAACAATGTTTTCTCTCTACTTGCAAAGCCGCCCACTGTCCAGGTTCGCAAATGTACCAGCATCCGCCATCAGCAGAAGCATACATTGCTCGCGGAACAGCAGCTCGTAGAGCCTGAGCAAATACTTGCATACACAAATTTAGACGTAGGCAGGCACATCATATAAAGCCTGAGACACCAACATGTCCAACCATGTGTACCGCGGATACCTACACCCCTGCATCCCCTGAATATAGCAGTCCTGGCTCTCTTGCTCCACCAAATCACATGAGCATACAAGACAAGTGACAGTCCTGTGCGTAGTATCTCTCCTGCAAGTCCAGCTGTGCAGCTGGAAATGTTGCAACTCAATAAGGCAACCTGCTCAGTCCTGCATAGAGTTGTACCAACCTCAAAGAACTACCGACGCACTTGCAGCACTTGCATGGCATTTCATTGTTCGCACATGTTCGCACGGGGATGCACGAGCATACATCGAAGCTGAAAATATGCGTCATGCTGATGCATGGTGGACCGTGCCTGCGACTGGGGGAGCACAGTGAGATTGGGTCGCTCACCCCTCCAGCACCCCAAAAACATATGAATACTTGCAGCGAGCAAGAGAATTGGGATGTCTTCCACTCACAGCTGGGGGGGGCTCTAAAGCAAGTTCTGCCAAAGGCAAAGGAGGGACGAAGGTAAAGATCAGATAGACCGGTGAGGCTTCGGGCATGTTCATCCCTGAGCCTGTCACGGCACAGGTCTTGATTCTGATGTTCTGATGGCATCAGTATCAACGATGCTTGACGCCATCAGCGATATACAGTATATTGTAACGCCAATATAGTATACATTTGTTGAACATAATTGGTGGTTCTGGCTGCTGCTAAGACTTGATCCTGATGATTGCTTCATAGGAGCCACCCACTACTGTACAAAAAAACACCACTGCCGTCCCACACAGCGGAGGCCGAACATGGCGCCATCCGTCAAATACAGAAACATGAAAAACGCTCAAGTTGTCTTTATGTGGTTTGATTCCTGGCTTCAGTTACACAATTTCTGCCTCATGTCTTACAGCTGTAATCACAGGAATTGCCTCGGGGTGGGCAGAGTTGGGTTTCTTCCTCATGACTCATGATTGTATATATATATATACAGTATGTATATATATATATTATATATATATATACAATATATACACGATCGTCTCATGGAGTCATGCCACTGTTCTCGCACAAAAGCGCAAAGGAAGGGAATGTAGATGCTTCAACAGGCACCAACTTTACTTGGACGATGCAGGAGGACAGTTCCACTGTCAAGCAAATGGATGCGGCCACATCAAGGAATGGGCACTGCCCAAGCGACACTCCAACAAACCGCGTCCACAGTCTGGCATGCAGAACCATCGACGCTGCTCTCAACTCTATGCCCAGACCTTGGTGGTCGGACTGCAATTCTGTTCAAGAAGTGGTGACCGGTGACCTTGAGCAACAATTTCAATGATCATCTTTGAGCACTCTTTGCCAACAACTTTGATTGTCTCACTGTATCCGCCGACATGCAGGATTGTTTCCACCAATCACCCTGTGAGTCTGCCCCTGGCATCTCAAAAAATTTGACCGCCTACTGGAATTCCTATGGGAGGCCCGGCTCGTCTTGGCTTAAATATGACCTACCTGGGTATTGCACATTATCTTTCGACGATGCGAGACTTATCCTGGGAAATTTTCTTACCACCAACTACGTCCTTTTACCCAGATTCATCGGTCGTAAGGAACAAGGAGCACCCATGGGTGATGCCATGTCCTCTGCCATCTTGCGGCTGTTCAAACACTCCCGTGAAGTGTTGACCCCCGGCCCCACTGGATGGAGGAACCTCTAAGCGTGCTTCACTTGACTTGGGAACCACTCAGTCTGTCATTGTCGCCTTCATTTCGTGACCCTTGGGTATATAGATCCCACGATGCCCCGGTCATAAAGCCCTGGCATAGTTGGGCTCCAAGCGCTCAGGAGAAAGCAGTCACTTTTTGTCTTTTGTGCCGGTGCTGGCGCCAGTTGAACAACTCTGCTGCCTGTAGCGCTGCGATTCTTGAAGCCATTCTGCTTCTAATTCACCGGGCAAATTTTCCTTCCGGAGTAGTTTAGTAGTTTACTCCTGCGCCCACAAGTGGGCCAAAACATGGAAGCCCCCTGGGTCCTTGGAGGGCTCCTAATTGCATCTGCACTCAAGCAGGCTCATCATCGGTTTGAAAAACACGTGTTCGACACCAATGTCTCACTACCACGCTGTCTTGTAGATAGTGTATTGGGTCGTTAGCTTGCAGTGACACCGTGCTGCTTATAACATGTTCATCCTTTCCCACCTTCAACGCCTACACATTTCCCTCCCAGCATTTTAACCCGCCCATGGTACCTGCGTCCGGGTTCACACACACAGTACAGGTGGAGGAGGCTGTGTGTGGAGTGCTGTTTCGTTGCCTTGAGGCAATTCCTAACCACATCTGATCGTTTCAGATTCTTTCATTCAGTATGTGCCTGTGGCTGCGGTTACATGCGCAGGCGGGGTTGCATCAGGGCAAAAGGTTGGCAGAACTCCAAACACAAACAGTTGGCATTCCCCCACAATCAGGTGCAAGTGCACCTCGGGTTTCTCAGTTTGGAGGTGCAGTTCAGTCTTTGATTATGTATACCCGGGTGAAATGATGCACCAAGAACAGCAAAATGCTTTGCAATCATGAGTTCCAAGCCATGTAGGAGAGAAGCGCTTGAACACAGAAATAGAAACAGCAGCCATGCAGTCCGAAAAGCCTGTGAAACAAGAACAAAGCAAGAGTTCAAATAATTCAGCTATGGCAAAGTGGCCAACCAAGCTCCATCCTCTGCTTTCCAGCGACGTACTGGCTTCACTGCAAGAGCCACTGCAATGGACCTGAGAAACATGTACCGCTGAAGTCTCAAGCGATTTGTCATTCCGGCGTCCAGGGTGCGTAAGTTTCCGACCCAACAACCAGGCTGGCAAACTCAACATACGTTGAAAGAGGGGGCATCTGCACCTGGACAACCTGGCAATTCAAGCAGCCAATTGGTGTCCTAAGCCCTTATCCAAGTTTGAAGCAACAAACATGCCACCTCTGATGCTACTAGAACAGCTGAAAATGTTGTTGCTGGCCATGCCTTGGCCAAGTACAGCACCAGCCATTTTGTAACTAGTGACAGTGACAGTGATGTAGCTCTCTATGCCCCTGACGGCTATGAATTCCATGGCGCATGTGAGCGTCTGCCAAAGCCGCCGCTTAGCAAAGAAAACATGATCCAACGAGGTTATCCTTTTTGGAGGGGTCCTATCGCTTTTTTGGCCTCAACCACCCTTTCAACATAGCTGAACATACCCAAAAGCTGCATTGACATACGTTGTCACTCTTGAAGGGGGCCTATCACTATTCCAGCTTCCAGCACACTCCTTCTGTTTCACGAACACTCTTTACTTATATAATAGGTCATCACTGGTTTTGGCGATTGCACATTTGATGTGGGCTCCATCCGACCTTAACCCATGAAAGGCCTGTGGCCTGTGTCCTCTGGAGCCAAATGAGGTTGTGATATGTTTTGATGATCGCCAAATTCGTTGATAAATTCACAGCAACCCGTGCACAAAGCCATGAGACAACCAAATGATTTTGGAATTCTGTCCACCTTTTGCAGGTAAAAACTTGCGGAAGGCGAGGCTCGTCCTGCAAGTGGACTGGTCCCGAGTCCTGTGTGATTGAGTTGAATATCAAAGTGATGCGAGTTGGCCAAGGTGCTTCTTTGAGTGCCATTCACCATAGGTGACCGGTGGGAAGTCAGTCCCATCTTTGCGCAAATGTGACTGCAGGGGCTGCACGATTGTATCACGGTCCTTAGCACGGACTCCTTGCTCCAAGTACTAGCACCGCAAGATTTGCATCAAGCAGTAGCAATGCTACGCCATCAAGCAGCGCTATGCACAGCCCATCTGGCACAATATCCTTGCACTTCCTCCGTTCTTGGGGCTGAATCCGCCAAGGGACGGGCTGCAAGAAAACAATGTGCGACCTCGACAGTCAGTGAAACCTCTGCACATACATACAGCATGTGGAATGGCAAGTCTTGCCAACAGACACGGACAGGCTGAATCCACACAAGCGGTCTTAAATTCATGCACCAAAGAAAGACCGAAAGCTGTTCCTAATTAGTGCCAAGTGGCTGGCGAAAATCTCCTGGAGAAACCCGATGAACCAGGGCCCTGACCTGGAGGAATCTGGATGAATGCAAGCTTATACTTTCAAAAGGCACTTTCTTCACAGGCGCCGCCTGTGGCTCCCAAGCACAGTTTTGTCTCAAAGCCGACTGGCCTGGCCATTTGTCATGACCTCAAGCATGTCGCCAGCAAATATCACTGCGAAGCCTTGGACATTTGTCGAGACGGTAGTTCGTTCCATAGTGCTTATTCTATCATGCTTCAGGGGGACGATATGGATGCAGGGTGCGGACGTCATTCCAATTGGCTTCTAGCATCCGCAGTTGTTTGTGGTTGATGTCAAGTGACCATTGGGTGGCTCCAAAGTTTGCCACGAATTGTCTGCAAAATACTCTAAGCCCGGCCCAGTGCTCTGCTGTAGAGTGAGAACGCCTCAGCAGTTGAGTGCTGCTAGGAAGACGGTGAACAACATTGAACAACCTCTTTTGCAAGAATCTGTTCAAAACAAATCTTGTCCTGGGCTATATACATGGAGGCAAATCGAAAGGCCAAGCTTGACTCCCAAGCACCGTAGTCGGTGTGCTCCGTGCAGGATCCATTTGGCGGGTAGAGGCTGTGACCTGTCACGCAGCCGTGGAGAGAAAGAGAAGAAACAGAAATGAAACGACAACGAGCTTTGTGTTAGATCTACCCACCCTCCCTCCAAAGGGGCAAAAGCTAGTCGCGGCTCTTTTGCTTGGTTGTCAAGCCTGGGTATCGGCTTTCCAGGCTCATTCTTTCATCAACCATTACGTGCAGTCATTTTCTGACTTGCCACCTCTTCCTCCATGGCTATGCCGCAAGTCTTCTTCAAGCACTTTTTGCATTTCCTCTGGTTCAGGGTGAGCTGAGACTGTAAAGCCACCTTTGAGGAATGCCTACTAAAAGGCCAGCCACAGACTGAGGTCCATGCTTCGATAGGCGTGTCCCAGCTGGCTCCTTCCACCTGATGCCATACTCTCTCCCTGGAGTTATAGGCCGTGGATGCCACCCATAGCTTCTTTGGTAACTGGGTTACCACCAGCTCTTTGCCTACCGACTTGTCCTGTACCTTCGGCATGTCCCCGAGTGGCTGTGCTTCAAGCTTGTTGTCGAGAAGTGTCATCTCTCTTTTGTCCTTTCGTTGTCTGCTGCCGCTGATGTTCTTGTTTGCCGGCTCTGACTGCAGGGCATCTTCTGCATATGAAAGCACCACTGACGACTTCCATCTCCCTAGAAAAGCCAGCTCCTGGGTTGGCATGCCCAATCTTACATAGCTCATGGTTCCAGACCTTCTTGCCAAGTGTCCTTGGATGCCTTCACCTGCCACCATTGTCCAACCTTCCACCATCTTGGCTTTGGACAGCTTCTTGTGCTCTGAGTCCTGAAAGATGTAATCCTGAGGCTCACGTTCGGCTCTGTACGCCTTCCATACTTCGCTCCACACCCTCCAGCAACACCATCTAGGGCAGTTCTTGTACATGCAACATTGAAGAGTACGTCGAACTCCTAGTCCTTGCTGGTCGCAATTCGAGTGGGGGATGAAGAATGGTCACTCTTTTTCCCGCATCACAAGTCGTTACATCTTTCCATCTCATTGCACTTACCTCAATCTCCCTCAGCATCCAAATCACTGCCCAGGCATAGGACAAAGCAGGTCTGGTCGTTCTTCTGGGTCCTGGCAGCACAGCACCCACTTCAGTTGCTCGATGTCTTCAAGCTTCACCTCTGGAGCTCTTCTGACTGGGCCCCGATTCCTTCTAATGGATCTCTTGCAATCTGTCAGCAGCTTGTTCATCTGGAGGTTCACCTCGAAGCCCGCTTCAATGTGCATGAGTTTGAGCTCATTCAGATACTGATCTCCTGAAGTCCATCCCCCAGATTTGATTGCTGCTGCTACGTCCTCGATGGTGTTCAGCTGAAGTGGAAAGACTTGTCGTCCTTCTCCCATGCTCGCTCTTGCCATCGCTAAGACTTGCTCTCTTAGTTTTCTGGGCTGCTCTCGAGGATTTTGCTAAGAAATCTCCCCTGAGTGCCTCCTTGGCTTGACGCAACTTGGACTTGCCCTGCAGGATGTCCATGACTGCTTCAAAAGATCCCCTTCTCGGACCTGCATTTTGTCCTACCTTCTCTGCACTGGTCGCCGGGGAGGACAGTCGTTTTGCCATTGCCAATGCCACCACGCTATCGCTCCTCAGCACCACGCTCTTGCCCTCCAGCCTATGCGCCCATCTGCGAAAGGCCAACTTCACCGCCCAGGCTTCCAGTGGTCCCTGCGACGCAGATTCCTTCCAAGGCGCCCCCAACCATTTTGCGTCCTCTTCCAAGACCGGGACCTTGAAGAGAGTGACAAACCAGCGTCTGGGTAGCTCTAAACGCTTCACTGACACCAGTCCCAATTTGGGTCTCTGGTCCGCTCGTCTGGTTGCTCTCTTCTTTTCTTCTTCTTCTGCCCGTTTCGTGTCAGCAACCACAGCATACATAATGCTGACAGCCCAGCGAGCTCTTGGAAGGATCCCCGCGACCCAGGAGAGGCGCCCCGTCACCTGCTGCACTTCTCGGAGGCTTACCATCCCTTTCTGCTCCCAGGATTCCAACGTAGTGCGGATCTCCATCATCATCTTCCTGGGCACGGTCAGCTTGATCATAGCCTCGGCTTGGATGACCTCAAACATCACCCCGATCCAGGTCAGCTGACTTCCTCTTGCTCCCTTGTGCCAAGCCAAATTGATCCCCAGTGCTCTGGCTGTGTAGAGTAAGAGGGCGAGGTTCCTGTTTCTCCTCGAGGATGGGCCCCGCAAGATCCACATTGGATCGTCCATGTACAGCTGGCTCTGCATTTCCCAAGGTGCTATAAGCGACTGCCAGATCCTCGCCAGGCACGCTGCAACCAAAAGTGGCGCACCTTTGAATCCAAATAACATCGCAACCCACATTAGGGTCTCGGATTGGTGAATGCCCGGGCTCAAGCAGTTTGCATGTTCTTCTGGATGTACCGGAAGATGGCAATAGGCGCCACTGAGGTCCGCCGTGATCATCTCGAAATCGTAGATGCCCCCATCCGGCCTGTCCTCATCAAGGGTCCACTCTTCCTCCTTCGCCTTGATCGCCATCCGGTCCCTGGTCTTCCATAAGAACCTAAAACTGTCCACCACGTCCACCACTCGAGGAAGAACAATCCGCTCTGATGGCACCCTGCACCTTGCGTTGCCTCCGGATCTCAGAAGGTCCACTATGATTCTTCTCTTCACGCTGCCATCGTCCTTCTCTTTGACCAGCAGCGCCAACTTTGATACTGTGCCTCTGGCATGCATCTCGTTGGCCTTGCTCGTCGGGAGGACCACCGCGAAGCCTTCACCCACCAGCCTTCCCAACTCAGCCCTTGCATGCACCGGTTCATCCGTGAAGCTCTTATAGTTTGACATGCCTAGCTGCTCTGCCAATTCAGGTGCCTCTTCCATCTCTTGATCCGGATCATCTGCCTTTGGGAAGATTCCGCAACACGGGATGCCCTTGCTCATGCCCAGCGGTACTCCACGCCTAATCCACTCCACCAGGTGCTTCTCAGGGTCCAGGGCCGCTCTAAGCCAACCTTCCCATAGCTCCGGGTCCAGTGGAGAGTCAAACTCGTACTTGTCCTTCAGCACCACGTCCTGAAAGGTCCTGGTCTGAAAGAACTGCTTGAGGGAACCTTTCCAGGCCATCTCCACTTCCATGTTGGGTCGACTTCCGTCCATCCCATAGTTCTTCGCCACGTCCAAGGCCTCCGGGTAACCCATGATGAAGCGATCCCAAATCCTGGAGACGTCCATTCCAACTTGCCTCATCTTCGACAGTCTCTCAACTGCCCTACCGGGGTTTCGCATGCCTCCTATGTAGCGCTCGTTCTCCTCTTCTCTCCTGGCCTTCTTCGACATCCCCATCATTGGCCTGATATCCTGGTTTGTTTGCGTCTGCTCCCAAACCCTCTTTGATGGATCTGCCGTGGGTTGTCCTTCAGGAGGTCCTTGATAGCCTTGATATATGCGCTCCTTGCTTGCGATCCACCTTCTCTTCAACGCCGAAACCTCTTTTTCCTTGGTCTTGAGCATGCGCCTCCAATACTCCAGCTGCATCATGTGTTTGAAGGCGGTGATCACCAGCTTGCAGTACTCCTCGCATAACTGCTTTGCGTATTGGGCAGCCGCTGCAGTTCGACGAGACCCTACAAGAGGTTCATGACGAATCCATTGGCCGCAAGGGCAAGACCTTTTCAACCTTTCAAGATCTAACAAACGGCCAGCAAAGCGCCCTGGCTTGTACCACCTGGTTCTCTCACCCTCTTGAAAGGCGCAGGTGTTATAGTCCGCAACTTGCCCCTCAAACGCTTCCATAAACGCTTTGATTTCTGGAAGTTCCCAAGCAGGTCCTTCTTCACGTGTCTCTGTCCCTGGGGGGTTTCTAAGGTCCCGGACTGCGGTACCTTTCGCTTCCGCTGGCTCTTCAGGATGGCCCCGATGACTTCTACCGACCTCGTAGCTAGTAGGGTCCCCACATCCGCCAGTCGCTGCTCCTCCACCGAGTTCGATGGCAACCCATAGATGTGCTGCAGCGACCTTACCGGCGGCGGTCCTCTGAAGTCCATGTTCCATCTCGCCCTGCTGAACGTGTTGCAAGGGAAACCTGCATGTCCTGCGTCGAAAGCGCGCTTCTCCGCCTCCTCTTTGAGCTCCAAGAAGGGGTGATCCTGCGCGAGGTCCGCGCCTCCCTCACCCTTATCTAAACTATATACTTCCACCTGAATCCCCTCCTTGCTGGCCATGTTTTTCAGGCAGTCCCCCAACACGTCGACCTCCCCGCTGAACATGAGCAAGAACCTGCAAATCCTCAGTTCCTGGTACTCGGGGTAGTCTCTAGCTTGTTCTAGGGCTTCCTTCACTCTGTCCGGCAAGTCGTCCGTGTCCATGGGCTCAGGCCCCGTCGATGCGCTCGCCATGGCCTTCGCCCGAGCTCCACGCCCCCCCACGGCACGCCCAGCCCCACTGCAGCCAGGCCACCCCGTGCGTCGCGTGCCAAGTCACTCCGAGCGAAACCCTCCGAACGAAAACGATCGACGAAAACACGAGTCCCACGTGCACCAACGACCGCACTAAACCATCACCTTCCACCTAAGACATCCCTCAAACTCAAAAGGAAAACCATCTCAAACACGCGTATCTGCCCACCCCCCCCCTCTCGCATCACACGAGAAGGATCAGCACCTTTCTTCCCTAGCCCTCTTCGGGGTCACGAGGGAGATGCTGACTTCTTCGGCCACTCCGCGTTGGGATGTCCTGGTGAAAAGCAAATCATGCACTTATGTACACAAGGTCCAACCCCATTCGCCCAGCTGTAGCAAATCTCTTGCGCAGCTTGGTCCTTACCTTTGCCTTTGCCCTTGCCTTCGCTAGGCTCTCCTTTTGAGCGCTGAAGCTTGCAAGCTCTTCGCGCTCGGACGCCCACCTCTTCCTCTTCGCCATCCTTTTGTCCCTATTGGCCTGTCGTCGTCTATCGCTTCTGTCGTCGTCATCACCACGCTCTGCAGGAGGTCCCGGAAGATGTGCCATGGCTATTGCCTCGGCGGGAGGTTTCGGAGAACCATGTGCACCACTGGCCAACCAATCAGCCGCCGGGTGACGCACCTGCTCATTCCAAAACCTCTCATCCAAAGCCAAAGCCCTAAAGCAGGCTGTCCACGGGCCCGCTTCTGTATATTCTCTCGGAGGTGACCCCCCTGCTGCAATGTCTAGAGCAATGGACCGCCTGATCTTCTCCAACTTCTCCGCCCTTGCTTTGTCATCAGCCTGTACAATCAGGCCCCAAGCTTTGGGCCATTGGAGCACCAACTTCTCAATGACCTTCTCATACAGGAGGAGGGCGGCCAATGTAACCAGGCTCAATGAAATGCATGCGACTTTGAACACCCTCCAACTGACCAACCACTGCTGCAAGTTTTGAGGGCCCGGCAATTCCTTCATTACAAAAGATCCATCACCTATTGGCAGGAAGGCCCTGAACTTCTGGTTCTTCAGCACCCTCCTCCCAAAAGGTAGCCACACGGAGAAGTCCACATAGGGTGGCTGGTTCTGTACTCGTACTCGATGATGTAGGGCTGCTAACTGTGCGTGCGATGCACCTTTGAGCCCATTGATTCAACATCACTGCATCAGGCAACTTCGTTTCCGAATCATCCGTCTGGTCCACAATGTTGGCCATCTTCAGCACATTGTCCTTGGTGCCACCAACTCCACCGCCCCCAGTGGTTGTTCCACTGGTCACTGCCGTTCCACCACCAGCTCCTTCAGGAGGTCCCGGAGGTGCCTCTGGCATCCATGGGTCCCTATCCACAAAGGTGTCAGGGTTTCCGCCTCCTTGCAAATGAATGACCCACCTTGCATTGCGCCAGACTAGCCCCACCTGAGCCGCCTGAATCGGAGTCAAACGTTCGCCGGAAGCCAAGGTGGAGGCCCTCACAATCTGAGGAACCGTCCAAACAGGCATGGCCGCTATCAACCGAAGATCATTTCCCGGATCCCCTGCCGTAGCCACGAAGGCATCCCACAGAGGATCCGGTACCCCCAGGCCCGTCAAGAGGTCCGGAACAGTGTTAATGCCCTGGGCCACCACCACACTCAACAAAACCATTATGACATGGCGGCTCGCGCGCTTCCACAAGAAAAACAAGATCTGTCTTAGACCTCGAGCCTCTGGCTCAAAGGATAGGTAGGGACGTTGTCAAACCCTCCCACCCTCCTGAACAAACATTTTCAGCTCTTGTGTCATGCAGTACCTAGGGTACTTTCACAAACATTGGTTTGCTCGTCAAGTGGCGCAAGCGACTGCCGGCCCAGCTCTCGCAATCAGAGAGCACCTCCCGAAGCAAGAGTATCCGACGAAAACTTTGCTTCACACAAGAGGCCTTCGCTGCAAGCGTACCACACGGCTCCTCCGCTTCGAACTCTTTCTTGGAAACTCGTTGGTACTCTTTGATCGTTTGGACGTTTGGATTCTTTTTGACGTGTCTTTTCGGTCCCAACACACTCTTCGGATGACTCCCCAGACCGTCCTTAAAGTCTGCCGCGGCTAGTGACAATTCTTCCTTCACCATGTTCGTTAAAATGGACAACCTCATCTTCCCAACCGATTGATTTCTACGATCTTTCAAGAACCAGCAAACTAATAAACTATCTTCAAAACGTCTGGTCTAGAGTGTAAAGTTCAAAGGTTTAACACAAACAATGAAAAGAAAAGAGCTTCAGTAAAAGAAGAAAGAACGGTGGCGGTATACACAGTGCTCGCCAAAATGCATCCGCCTGAAGTCATCACATATCCACGCTAGGTCTCCTCAAAGTGAAACAACAGCAGCGTGTCAGAAGGCGCTGCCATTTGACAGCGGTTCATCTCAGTTGTCGGTAAATGAGAAAAATACCCAATTACACCACCGTAGGCCCCAAACAGGTGGGACAACAAAGAAGCGTTCCCAAGTCCATTTTTTGAGACATGGGAGACAAGAAGGAAGACAAGGCGGACACAATGACCAACAAGAAGGGAGACAAAAGGAAACGGAAGGGAGACAACACGGACACAACAACCAACAAGAAGGGAGACAAGAAGGGAGACAAAAGGAAACAGAAGGGAGACAAGACGGATACAATGACCAACAAGAAGGGAGACAAGACGGTAGCCAAAAGGAAACAGAAGGGAGACAAGACGGACACGATGACCAACAACAAGGAGGGAGACAAGAAGGGACACAAGAAGGGACACAAAAGGAGACAGAAGGGAGACAAGGACACAGTGACCAACAAGAAGGGAGAAGGGAGACAAGGCGGACACAATGACCAACAAGAAGGGAGACAACACCGGAGACAAAGGGAGACAGAAGGGAGACAAGGCGGACACAATGACCAACAAGAAGGAAAACAAGGGAGACAAGCCGGACGGAAGGCGGACACGCTGTCCCGCAGCAAGGCGGACACTCTTAGAAAGCATTGAGAATCCCTAACAGTAACCTGCGTGGGGAAAAATCACATGGGAGACAAATGAATAGAAAGCATGGCCAGTGGAAAAGGGCGGACACCAGCAGTGACAGAAAGGGCGGGCACATCTTAAGAAAGAGTTGAGAACCCCTAACAGTAAACTGTTTGGGGGAAAACACAGTAGAAAGGAAAGAAACCGCCTGGACTGTGTTTCGGCTTTTCTACGTACCCTTTGGACCCCTTTGGGTTTTAGGTGGTTAGGGTTGAGGGGTTGGCTTTCCGTCTTTGCAATTCTTTTTCCACAAGGTTCAGAAGCCTGGTGGGTCCGTGGGTCCATCCAACTCATTTAGCAGCCCACCTTGACGCCAAGAAAAATAGCAAGCTCTTGCTACTCCAAATTTACGCCACATCCTTTAGGTCTGATTGGGAGCTGGTGTGGCTTTCACTCAATTGGAAAACCGTTATCTAAATTGTTGCCCAGATGATGGCGGACCCGCAAATCCGGGTTGTAGCATAGTCAAAGCAAATTCTTGAAAACTATGTTCAGAAGAGACCTTCAAAAACAATGTTCAATGCTTGAGTGTTTTCGGAATATTATATGTGCATTACAGGTCGTCATGTTTTGTTGAAGTCCGGATTGGTCCCCACACGGGGGGTTAGTATGTTCCGTTGGGACTATATATAGCTTCATGGACACCACCTCACTCCCAGAGCCATGCACCAAAACATCTCCGAAACCCGCTTGTTGGTACAAACGAGTCGTAGGCCTCATAAGAAATGCGTTTATTTCTACACCTTTCTGGAACACAAATGCACTATACACAATCTTCACAGAGGTACAGCCTTCCCCAAAAGTCTGGCAGCCACTCCAAGGTTCTCCAGCCCTCACGGCCCTCGCTTGCTGCATCATGGCCCACTCCAAAGTTGTAGCGGACGTCAGGAGTGTGGGCTTTGCTTTCACCAACCCGTGTGCGCAGCAAATCCTCACCTTTGGAGAATCTCAATTGCCGCTTGCGAACTACACTTCGCTTGCAAAAGCTCTTAAAATCCTCCAGTGCTTCTCTCCACAAATCCTGCCACGCCGGGAAATGTGGTCCTTCTCCAAAAACATCCTTCTTGATTGGAATGAAAGCCGCTCCGCAAAGACGGAGTGCGTCGATCAAGCGTCCACGGTCGGCTTCCCAAGGGTCAATATGGGGCACCCCTGCCTAAGAAGCGACGTGTGGTTGACATCAACGAAGCAAGAGCTGCCCCTAGAGCCCTAGAGACCCCAGAAGCGAAAGCAGCAAGTCCATGACACGAGCATGGACAAAGCAAATCCATTGGACAAAGCAGCCACATGTGGAGTGTGTGCCAAGTGGTATGAAACCCGCCTCCTCTTCGCCTGGCCGCAAGTCAGTCAGCTGGCCAGACTCAATTCATCAATAGTCGTCATAGTTCTGCGATCGTGAATCATACCATACATGCATATTGTGCAGATTCAAATTCCTAGAGACATGTTTGAGGTAGTCCGTAAACTGTTGTGACACCAAATCCAGGTCTAAGATGGCCGTGGCATTTGTTATGGTTTCAAACATGTGTTCGTTCTTTCCAGCCCTTGCAATCCAATGTGTTTTGATTTCTTGCTTGTACTTTGCACTTGTGATCCTGAACAGGCTGTTGAAGGAGGTGTGTCTTCTTGCATTGTGAAACGAATCCAAACTAACATGACTGGAATATATTTGAGAGAGCGATTGGCATACACCTTCAGCTCGTCCCGCTCATGCGGATCCTCGTGCCAAGTGGTTCCAGCTGGCTGGCCTCTTTCAGAGGCACATGCATCTTTGCTTTGCCGTTGGGCTGTTGCTGCGCTTCTTGTGCAATGCACAATCACGTTAGTCTGAAGTGCTGGAGCGCCAGCTGCAAAGTGCCGCTCTTTTAATGGCGTTTCTGCGAGGCCTTGCTGCAGCCTGCTTTGGGTATCTTTGCGCGCGCGCGGGCGGGGGAAACTTGCCAGTCTTGGGCCGACTTCTAATAATGAAGACCGTGGAAAGTTGGGCCTGTAAATGCAACGCTCGTTTGTCGAACATGGGTGCAGCCGGTGGAGGTAGCTAGAACATGCCCACTGGCTCTTGATTTCACTCGTCTGCACACTGCGTGCTCCAAACTGACATACTTGTGCTACACATGTGAATGAAACAAACACACGGTGCGGTCCAAGTGCATATTATGTCCTTTCGCTGCTTTAACCGGCGCTGTGTCGCTGCTGTCAGCCCAGCAAATCAACAACAAAAAAGCAGAACTTAAATTAAGTTTGTTTAGGGCCTTGACTTTCAGAACTTCGTCATCTCGAAGCACTTGGTGTATATGCTCGCTTGGTGGAATTGCAAATCCGTCGATGCTGCAAAACAATTCATCATGTCCCTCAATGAGCCTCAAACAAGGAAAACTAACACAAGCAATGTCAGCAATCGTCGTGGTGTGCAGTACAAAGCAAAGCCTACCTTAGCAAAGCCTACCTTTGCCTAGCCCCCAATCTTCAAATTACGCAGTATACAAACCCACTTGCATCGAACAAGCTTACAAAGCATAAATAGAGAAGAAAAGAAAGACATTGAACGACCCATCAGGCCCAATTGATGCGGATAGGTGCAGCCAAAGGGTCTCCGGCTGGACTTGTTCTAGAAAGGTGCTCACAGTGATGTTTGAAGGAAAGCGCAAGAGGAGACGGCATTGTCCTCTGGAGATTTCAGGACCTTACAGTAGAATGGCCCAACCGGTAGCTGGCCGCGAATCAGCACACATGAAACTGAACTCGCATGGTATAATCAATAATCAAATGCCTGGAAGCTTAGGTGAAGTCGAAATCGGCGCTTCTGAGGGTCCAAGTTGAACATCAAGCATGGAATCGCCGCGCACAGCCCCTCAATGGTCCATTGCTTGAAGTCTGGCTCGTGGACTGCTGCTTACTACTGCACTTGTTGCACGTACAACTGCATGGATGGCATGGTCCGAAACGAATGCAATCCTGCCTGTAGGGGACTGTAGGATACACACACACACACACACATATATATATATATATATTTAATACCAACACGCGCATGCAGCATGCACTGATCTGATATGCACCACTCGCCTGAAAGGGTCTGTCCACAAAAATCTAAACAGCTTCGGACACTATGACATATGACATTGAAGCCAAAGGATTGAAGCAAACCCAGGCCATTGTCTGTTTAGCTGCCCGGCGCCCTATTCAACCGGAAACCAAACAAGAGTCAAGCCACAGAACCCCTACTCGCAGCCCTGCTTTATGTCGTCTGACGCGCAGCCATTCGAAGAGCAGCGGACGAAATGTCAATGCCTTGGTGGGAGAAGAACTTGCAGGATGCAAATCCGTTTCAACTTATGGATCATACGTCATCAACGGCAAATGGAGAAAACACAAAAATAACACCTCGCCGGCTATATATTGAAAATCTGTTCCAGCAAGTCAGAACTGTGGCGCAGGCGGAACTCTGGCAAAGAAAGAAACATTCCGCACAACTCCTGAATGCCAACGTGTAAAGCACGGGGCAATATGTTCAATCAAGTTATCCTCAGGCAAATCCATGGCCGGGTTCGAGTCCAAGGTCATGAAATTGTCGCCGTCAACACCTCACCACGCACTTCACATTCCGTTATTTTGCTGCAAAAGCTGCATGGTGTGTACCCAAAAATAAGTCTTAACATGTTTTAACTCCCGCCTGGAGCTGCATGCAATTGCTGGACTGTTGCGTTCCAAGATTCAAAGGAACCCTTTGCTGCTGGAAGCGTGTACTCAGTTGGGGCCAGGTTCCTCCGCTTGGCGCACACTAGGAAGCCACGGCGGAGTTAAAGACTTGGCAAGGTTGCAAAGATGTCGGTGTGTAGTATGCTGAATGTGGACTCAATGGACGTCAAGAATTGATGCAGCCGAAATAGAGCCAGGAGCTGAAAAGAGCCGCAAGAGCTTAGGTAGAGTTGTTGCTTGAATCGCCTTGCTCTGTTTGGACCTTTGTTGGCCAGAGCTCACGAGGGTGTGATCCATTTGCAGTGGCGCTGTCATGGAGTAAAACTTGTATTTGCAGGCATTTGAGAAAGGTCGTGTGTGGAGTTCACACGTGTGCAAAAGGTTCAGTGAGGCTGAAATCTATGTGTGCTGTCGTTTGAGAAGTTCACATGCATTATATATATATATATACTCTTTGTCTGTTCCATGCCTTTTTGGAGGACAAACCGGGACGGATTCTTACACTGGTTCACACAGCTAGGACCATGTTTGACCTGGTATTCACAGGGTTTTGCTGGTGCATTGAGTGAGTCACGAGTCATATCATCTACGCTTTCCTGTTGAGGACTTATCGTTTGGAGGTACCGTTTGCACTTGTTCATTGTCTTGTCGGGGGTTGTTTTGTTGATGCTGTCTTATTTGCCGCTGGCAGCGGCCACCAGGCTCTTGGTAAAGTGGTGTCTAGCCCCCCGAAAGCCATACAAAGCCCCACTCAGCAGGCCCTACTCTTCCAAGGTGGTATCGAATTTTCGAGAAAAGAAACATCATTTGCCGTTGCTTGAGATCCGTGTGCATTTGATCAAAGTTGCCTTGGGTTTGGACAAGCACGTGTTTACGCGTTTTGCTCACTATCTGCGACACACATATATATATATATATGTCTCCCTTCCGCTCCAATGAGCACGCAAGCACCCTTGTTTTCTGGGGTGCCTCA